TATATATATATATATATATATATATATATATAAACACATTTAGAATTTCATCTTCCATACATATAAATTTAAAATTTTAGTTTAAAATGAAGTGAAAAAAATATACACATTAGAGGTCTGAAATCAATATTTATGCCAAAAAAAAACAAAAACGCTATGTAAAAGCTGATACATGATTTAATCCAGAAATCGATGCATAATTTGTAATTATTTTTACTCACTGTATTAGCTAGCCACTAAAAATAAATAATTTTTGTATTTTTGCATTAATTATCCTACTTGAGCGAACTTAAGACGGATACTTGGGCAATTAGGGCAGTCATTATTTTCTTTTATGACATAAACTCGAACAAGTTGGTCTAATTTTAAAAATGACTGAAAGCATAATCATTGTAAAAGCAATCATTGTTCCTAAAATATATACATCTTAGTGGGTGTCACGTGAATTGATGTAAGCGTGCGTATCTTTATATTTTTATTTTATTGTAACTGATTTTATTTCACTTCAATTACATTCAAAATTATATGGTGATATATCAAATAAAGACGGGTTCTGGTCAAGGATTGATATTTTAAACAACAAACCCATACTTGGGCCTCATTCGTGTAGGATAAAAGTGCGCAGAGAAAAAATTCAGATAAAATAAATTTAAAATTATTTTTATATATTTTTAATTCTATTTTTCTATTATTACTCAATTTTATTATTATTTTATTATTATTCAATTTTTCTATTATTATTCAATTCATGTTTTTAAGTTTGTGCATTGTATGGTGTACTGTACAGAGTTTAATACTTTGTAAAGAATATTAAAATAAATTTTAATAAATTTTTTATTAAATATTAAATTTTAATATTCAGTAAAAAATTTTAAAATTTCTTTTCTATATAGTTTGCATGACAAAGGTATTTTCAAAGGTATTTTTCTAACTCTTATAAGGAAATGAACATTTCATAATTAATATGACTGAATTAAAGCTCAATTAATTAATATATTCGTAATATGGGAATTGTAATTTTATCTAAACTTGGAAATACTTATTTTATTTTTTAATTTCTTTTTCGCGGAATGTAATTATTCTTCAATTTAAATACACGGTTAATTTTTATTAGAAATTGTAAGTAGGAAAGTTATAATCGTAATTCATTCGCATTTATATTAAAAAATTACAATGCGAAAAGTGAGACTATTTATGCATTTTGTAGAGGAGAAAGTAAAATTCAATGCTGAAAATCAAGTATTTATTAACATCAAAACAATTTCATCAGTGGAATAATACAAGAGATGTTTTTATCATTCAAATATAAATCGTTCTTTATATTAAGATAATAAATCTTAGGAGAAAATTACTGCGGAATACAAATATATATGTATATACATATATATAAATTCCACAATGATTCCCCCCTAATATTAACGAAAACAAAAAACTAATTTACATATACAAATGAATAACTAAATCAAGGGGAAAAAAAAGAATCAAGAATAAATTTAGAAAAAAAAACTTTAATAACTTTGAAATCAATCAGATTTTTCTTACTAAGAACAATTGTAATGGTTCATAGGGATAACTCTAAATATGCTAATTAGTTAGTGCAGACTACATATGAAGTATTGAAATAGACACAAAAATGTTTTTTTCTGAATATAACTACTTTCTTTTGACAAAAATGTATTTCTGATTATCAAATTATGAAAGAAGGCTGGTTTAGCTATAATCTGAAAAATATGGTTACATGTAACTAAGTCAATAAAGCAGCAGCCAAAATGTTTGATCGTTAAATTTTTTTTTTCGTCTCATATCTGAACCATATTGAGTGAATCAAGCAAATATGATGCTCTCTCATTTTAAAATGGCTTACTCAAAACAATTTCATGCAGGAAGATTTGCTTAAAGTTGCTTAAAATATTTCTCTATTTATTTCAAAAAAGACCGAATTTTTTATAATTTTTGTATCTTCCTAACTTAAAGGGAAAAAAAATGTTTAAATGGTGCCTGATAATTAAAGGTTTAAGAAAGTTATAATTTTTTTAAAAGTTTAACGCTTATATCTGCATTTTAAGAAAAAAAAGGGACGAAAAAAATGAGCTGATTTTATGCGAATCGCTCAAAAAAGTTAAAAGGACTTTCTAAAAACTTTATAGATCAATATCAAAAATTTAGAAACCGCCTATTTGAGCCGCAATGGCTCAGGGGATAGAGCTTTCGCCTTCCAATGAGGTGAGCCGGGTTCGAATCCCATTGATGCGAATCCGCATCCGGTTTGCACCGACCACAGTGCTGACGTGAAATATCCTCAGTGGTAGACGGATCATAGGCTAGAGTCCCTTTGCCGTTAGGCTAACCGTGAGAGTTTCACGTGGTCTACCTCTCCATGTCACGCAATTGCGGGTTAGTTCTATCTAAAAAGTCCTCCACGAAGCTTTTTTTTTTCAAAAGTCCTTCAAAATTTCTCCTAATACTTGATCCAGGAGTACCCTTGTATTCTGGATTGGGTTCCAAATCAAAAGGCTACGGAGTTGAACATTAGTAGTCGTAAACCCAAAAATTGGGTTGGCTGTTCAACGACGATTATATAAAAATAAAAAATAAAAAAAACAGCTATTTCATTTAAAGCTTAACTAATAACCTTTGAACATAATTAAGTCTTACTTCTTGATATTCCATAAAAAGTAGTTAAAGACACCATTCTGAATAATTATAGGGAATGTTTTTTTCTTTTATTAATTAGTAATTTTTATTATTTATTTTATTATTTAATAATTGGATTGCTTTT